ATTGTCCATAATTAGTTCTTTAATTAAGGTTATGTACATTTTCCCCCAAATTTTATTAGTTTTCACGCAAAGTTGCGTGCAATATTAAAATATTACAAAAAGAAGATTTTTTTCGAAAACGGCTTCAAATTTTTTCTTTAATATTTTGATAAGTACCCTATAAAATGACATAAACGCAATTTTGCTCAATTCTATTGTTTATTCAAATTTTTTTGACTTGGCTCTCAAGTCTTGTCTTTTAAGATAGAAAACATAATTGGCTTAATTTCAATTATTATATACGATTAATTTCAATATTATTATATATGATGTATTGTTATATACGACTCGTATTGACAGTATATGACGTGATGGCTTTATTTTATATTGACAACGCCTCAAATGCAGGAAATTCTAATTTACTATTTCGAATTGTTTTCCAATTTTCGAAAATACAAAGAGTGCGCCAAAAATGGAACAAGCATTATTGTCTTTACCTTTCTTTGCTTCATACGTAAAAAATCAAAGAAAAAATATGAAGCCGTTTCTAAGAAAGAAATTGTTTAAAATTTAAAAGTTGCCTTTGTTTGACGCCACATTACGCAAGAAATACTCATATTGTCTAAAAATTGATAACATGACTTTATTCGAAGCGCTGATTTTCATGAACACATTAACATTAAGAAAACTAGTGGTGCTAATACAACACGTACGCTCTCGCCGTTATAAAATAAAAATAAACAATATACAATTAGCTGATGTTCAGGTAAAAAATTCTAGGTTTCTCAATTCAGTCAATTCTCGAATGGAATATACTGTTTCTATATTATTAGAGACTATACTGATCATCAAAAAGAAAACTAATGTTTATTTTAACAAACCAGTGATATATAATTAATTCTATTAAATTTGTATTGTATAATTAAAAAAAGACTTAATATGCTTATAACAAATAATGTAATTCAGCTTCCGGGTCAATGACCCCCACATCGTCCAGTTTCCCTGATACACTGAACAAATATTGAGATGGCCCCTTGTTTTGCTTCCGGGTGTAAATGTAGCTTCACTATGCGCTCGTTTTGTTGAACTTCTCTTTTGCTTGTAATGGTAGGAGTACAGGTAAAGGTGAGTTACCATTTTGTTAGCAATGCAGACAAATCATATCTGCAATTCGTTTACCGATGCAAATACGTTTTCTATAACTGGGAAAGAAAATGTCTGTTTTTTTCCAAATATTGCTAATCTCGCGCTGTTTTAAATTTTATTTTTATGTATTTATTTACCTTTAACTTTTACTCATCTTTCATCTATTTGTTAGTTAAAATGATGGGAAGGGATTCTCGAACTCAAGAAAACGTGCGCAGATGAGCTTCTTCCCCATATATCACAAAGATTTTACTGTTTTTTGATTAAATAAATCTAAAATCTAAATCTAGTAATGGTTCTGTAATACTATTTATACCGCAATTTCCCTCCGAATTATTATTTGCAAATTCATTTGAAATCGTAATACGTTTGGTGCGAAAAATTGGCAGAATAGAAGAAAGTAAAATATTTAAAAGTTAATTTATAAAACGAAACTGATAGCGTTGGAAAACAAATATATCGAAAAAAGGATAATAGTAATTAATAAACATTATGGTATTGAATATTTAACAATTTTTTTCCTTTATTTTCTTCTTGTTCGGCCTCCTGGCCTTTCAAGGGCTTGGATACAATAAATTATTCATTGTTAGGAATGGGCATCCTTGGGATTTTGGGCTTGGCATCGCTGCTCCGTTTTTAAGGTGTTCGCTTGGGATGGGCTTGTTTAGTGTTTATATAACATTTGCATAATTAATATTGGGTTAAATGATTGATTTGGTTTTAGTAAGTACTTGGGGGGTGGGGAAACTAATCTTTTGGGAATTTGGATTTGATGCGGCAACGGTCCGCAGCATTATGTCCTAGGTTAAATGTATTAGTTAAGTGAGAAATGTTGAGTGTAGTATAAAAGAATTTCGAAATTGTGGAGATATGATCTTTCATTAGATCCATTTTACAAATATATAATATATTTGTTTTTATTTTCACTAACTCAAAGCAGCCGTCATTATCGTGTTATTTGTGCGGCGTTACAACAATTAGTAACAACAACCAACTATGACCGCTCATCTATTTGTTTTCACATTTAACACAATTAAACAACGCAAAAAATGAAATAACGTAAATATAATATAATTGTAATAATAATAATATTAATATTAATAAAATGAAATATGAATTAATATACTACATACGTAGCATCCAACTGAGAAAATTGGGAGCGGGCAACTAAAGATTAGTAATCTTTATTTTATATTTATTTCAAATAGGTTTTAAGTAATTTCTAAAAGATTAATTTATAAATGTATAACAAAAGTTCCAATGTAAGAAACGAACAAAGAAATATGAAGTACTATACACATCCTAACTTATCATCCGTCTCCCTCAAAACACCTACAATTACGATCAAGAAGCACAGTATTTTCACAGCGGGCAACTAACTTTGATGACTAATTACTCCAAACACACTTATATATTCGAAAAATTCAACATTTTAATTTCTATTTGAACAACTCTATTTGAAAATCTGTTTTCGATGAACACATTTCATTAAGAAAAAATGTATCTTCATGATGGTACTTGTGGGAAGACGCCGATAAAAAATTTGATTTTTTTCAATTGTCAAAAAATCAGAGTTGTCAACCAACATGAGATCTGCGCCTTTGTCTTAAACATACTTCAGACTAGGCAAACCAACAAATTTAATCCAAATCGATGGCGCCATTTTTTGAAAACGTTAAAAATAATTCAGGTGCTTGATGTAAAATACTTTCCCCCCAAATTAAACTATCAATTTCAACTTCAAGCAGCCGCTACATCAGTCAGATCGATTGGGCAATATCAATTTTGGAGAAACTCGTCCGAACGGTTTAGCCGCTAGCATTATTCACAGAACAAACGGACTGAGGTTTTGCCGTCAATCGTTTTTCGGTATCAAGGGCCCACAAAACATGGATTCTGGCTACAACCCGTCTTAGAGGATTTTTTTCTAAAATTAGTATCTGGATTTATCCGCTTTGTAGTTACCAGAGTCCTGTAATAAAAGTTTTTCTGCCGGAAATTCGCCGTTTTTCGCGCAGCATTTCATAACTTTCTCTTCTTAAGAAGTTCCTTTTCAAGCGCGCGAGAGAGAAAAAATGTTCATGATTGTAATTGTAAAAACTCCGAAAACAATATAAATGTTTGCAATGTTCCTAAACTAAGGGATTTCAACAAAAATTTGACCTGTACTCTTAAGCTTTCTTTACCCTATTTGAGGTCAAAATTTAATCAAACCATTTTGTGCCGCATTTAAGAAAAAAAAAATTTAAACAAGAATAAAATTTGCGTACATTTTACGCACGATTTCGGGAAAAGTATTCAAATATTCGAAAAACTGAACATAATCTTGTTTCAAAATCTGTCTTCGAAGAACAGATTTCATTAGCGAAAAAAACTCTATCTTGAATATTTTAGTTGTAAGCCAATTAAGACGCCGACATTTTTTAATTTTTTTTTGCAATTATTGAAAAATAAGGTATTTTAGTGAAAATCAGATCTGCACCATTTTGTTAAGCGTATATTACGCTATCCGAACACAAAATTTAATCCAAACAGCCGAGACCTAACAGAGCGTAGTTAAGAATTCGGCTAGCGACTCCAACGTCGTTCATAACACCTTCATTCGAACCACAATGAGAGAAGATCGATTGTGTGCGTTGTCTGTGTTCCACTGAAAAGGAGTTATTGTCGACACCAAACTACAAGACACTTGTTATAGACTATTTTGCTGAACAGGAGAGGAGAGCTGGCTTCATTTACAAACAAATTAACGAAGGTTAGTGTTGCCACACGTTTTGAAACGTCGGGATATGTCCTGAATATCAACATGCGTCCTGCTCTCCCGCCAGAGTATTCTTTTATGTCTGCCAAATTTCCTGAATTTTTATTCTCCATTACAATTCTATATAGTCTGACAAAAAAGGTGTTTTGGGACTACTTGAGAACAACATCACAGAACTTAGCTCTATATAAGAGAACTCAAGCAACTAATTCCTACGTCAAGCAAGAATTGTTATTTTTGCCGTATGTTAGTGCAAGAGAATCTACAATCCAAAGGAGAAAAGGAGTCAGTCAATAACCATGTGATAATATAGACCAAAGTCACGATTTATTTAATATTTTATTTAAATACCCTGAAATATTCCACAAATTTGGTCGTGGAAAACTAAGAAAATGACTTGGATAACCTTGAAAAGTCAGGGAAATTTGTCCTAGAAAAAGAGTGGTCACCCACGTGTTCTTGAATGTGTGCAATTTATCTTGATTTACTATTTAGTTGTTTATTTGATACATTATTTTTTTGACATACGATTTACTTCATATATTATTTGATTGTATAAAAATAAACAATTTGCTGTGAAACAAATTTCAGATACCCTGAATTCCATTGTTAACCTTACTTCAACTCTAAGGTAAGCCAAATATTTTAAGGAAATAACATTAACGTAGTCGCGCTGTGGCGCCCCTCCCCGTCCTCGCTTCAGCTCACCTTTGCTTGTGGCGCTGGCGCCGCGAATGCTGTCGCCTAAGCCGTATGATTTCTTTCTAAAATTGATTCTCCGATAAATTCGTCTCCTCTTCAATCTCATTGAATTTGAAACGGATCTTTTAAACATTTTTATTTTGTTTTAAACACCTTTTCTATTCTTTTTCCCCAATGGATGTTGCCCCCTTACAAAACTCCCGTAAACACTCATCTCGGGGTCTGTAAATAACTATTTGGGGTATAAGGCGCTCATCTCGTGGATCTCGAGTGGAGTGGCAGGCGAGGGGGGAGCAACGACCCGATGGAGAGAGAGAGTGTGTGAGGGTGGGAGGGGAGTGAGGAGGAGGGGGTTGCCAGGGGAAGGGGGAGGGGGAAGACGCGCGACCGAAGACTATAAGAGCCCGTGTGCCCTTGGTCAGCGTCGAAGAAGAGAAGACGCCAGCGTTCGCGAAGGAGCTCACAGGAAGAGCGCGTGGCAGTCCATATCGTGCTCCTCCACCAACACCCGCAGTAAGTCACACTGAACTAGTAGAACGCTCCCAATTTCCAAATTAGTAATTTGCCCGAAAACTATACAGTAAAACTTGCTGAATGCAGAACGTGTGTATGCGTAAACCTGTCCAATGTGAACAGACACTATGGTTCTGGCATATGTTGTGCTTTATTTGTACAATGCGGAATATCAAGTTCTGCGTGAAAAATACTGGCCCCCTTGAAACTCCGCATCGAGCAAGTTTTCCTCACTAAATGTTTCCACAAGCAATTTCTTGCAATACAGTTGACTTTCAACAGTCGTAGCATTGCGCACAAGGGCACGCGACTTTATAACATCACAAAATGATTGTATGAAGAAATAATGTGTTAATGTGGGTTGGTTGTAGTATCTAAAACATCGTGTGAGAGTATGTCCTTTACAACGAGTGCACCGCCAAAGCACAAATAATCCACCAGCTGTTAATGAAATATCTTTAAGTTGCGAGGCTCTCTTTGTTTGACTTTCGCTAGATGTGAATAAACGATGCCGTTATGCGACCTTTAGCACCTTAGCTGCAACGAAACCTCAGCGTTTCTTCACATCCGGACAAACAACGGCGGGCGTATATAGTTAACCATAGCGTATATAGGCTAACCACACGCCTTTCCTTTATCAATGTATTTTAGCGGTGAAAACATTGTGGGTGAAACAGGGCTCCTCGTTGGCAATTGTAACCCAAGACAATTATTACTTTCACTACCCATTTTTAATACAATTTTGAAAGTCCCTCCATTCGTCTACCCACAATCCTCTTCTATTGGTGGGAATGATTTGAATGCAATTATTTTACTCCTTACCACAATTTTAGTTTTTTCTTACGCAAAACGTAACTCTTTCTTTGAATTACATACATCAGTTTTCAGTTAATTCTTTTGAATTTCATTTTTAGACAGTTGCAAAAGGAATCAAATCCGATTTGGCTGCATTTCTTAAAGTAGTTTCATGTACTTTTCAGCATTTGTAGCAGACTTCAACCGACGTTTTTTTTTTTATTATTATTATTTTTTTTATACGCATTTTTAGTTTTTGTTGAAGGGTTAGTCCAAATTGCCCATCTTCTAGGGTATATTAGAAAATTTCTTCAAGTTTTTGCCTTTAAAATGTTAGATTATTTTACAATTTTGGACATTAATGAACTTTTCTTTGTTGGATAAATGAAAAATTCATAAGTAAACACATATTATTTTTAATTATTGAAAAGTAGAGTCAATGATGTAATGACTGCAATTGTATGATTAAAATTTGGGCTTTTACAACGAAGTCAAATTTTAAAAACTAAAAAAAATATTATATCCCTAGGTAAGAATGCTAACTCAATTATAGATACAGTAACAATATACCAGTAGACTAATATGTCAAAAGGTTTGTCTTCCCTGTAAAGTTTAAAATTTATCTATTTGATCTATTCATCAATTTTAATCAGGGATTTAAGTAACTTTACAGAAATAACATGTTTTATTTTCTAAGGCTATGGAGCACTTTCAAAATTTTCAGCAGCCCTTCCACCCTGTGCTCGTGGCTATGTTCTTTTTTTAAAATGCAAGTCAACCTCCCATCAGTTTTATGCTTTCATATTTCTAGCTATATTACATATATTTAACAATACCTTTTCTCTGTAAGTTTTCTCCTATTTTGTCAAAGTCTTAATTTGGATCCTTTATTGTTTTCTATTCAACTACTATAAATGGTTTGGCTCATATGTTATTGTTCTTCTTTTTAATGTGCACAGATGACATGAATCTTTATATCCCAATTAGTTCACATGTAGATTGTTAGGCACTTAAAAAATTATTCACTATATTGTATAATTATTGTGTAAAACGCAAGATAATCCTAGAATTCATCAAAGTGTAAAATTATGAGCTTGTTTAGATCTGTACTAATTACAACTAATTACACTATTAGCTACGTAATCCTTGAAAAAGCAAGAGTTGTAAAATATCTGGGTATTACATTTGATAGGCAACTATCATTTTAATTTCGTATTGAAAATTTAGTTAATAGAACTATGAATTAGGTTATTACCCTAGGGCAGAATGTAAGAAATCTATCAGAATACTGATAGTATTTGTTTTTTGTGCTAGTCTGCTCAAAGTTAGTGTGCTTCAGTATGGTCACCTTATTGCAAATATCTTGTAGTTCCTCTTGAGAAATGTCAGTGCAGATTTTTGAAGTTTTTAGATTTTAATGACATGAGAACATACCCACCTTGAGGAATCTGGAGTGTCTTAATAGTAAATTGAATATTCAAAGTCTACCCAAGAGACTTCAATTAATAAAAGTGGGTTTATTTTTAAAAGTTTTAAGAAATATTACAGTTTGTCCTTATATTAACTTGCAGATTTCATTGCTGGTTTCCTATTATGCTGCTAGAGTTTATTGGCTTATAACTCCAATACTACAGGTACTTTCATGAGGATATCAATCTAGTATAAACTGGTAGCACTTGTGATTGAAGTCTCAGAAAATGCTAGAATGGATATTGACATTTTTGCATACTCAATATCAATATTGTGCGAGAGTGTGTCAGAGTATTTTAACTCCATTTCTTGGTAATGCTTGTGTAACAAATTGTTACATAATAATTCCATCAACCAGTTTGCCCATGAATTTTGTACTATATAAAATAAAATAAAAAAAATAACACTTTAAGAAGTATTCATTGGCCTACAATTTTAAGGATAAAATATCTAATTATTCCAGATATTGCATAGAATGAAAATACATTCTTTTGAAAGGAATTGACATTCTTTAGTAATAATTAATTATATCACACATTAAATTAATTGTAATAATTAATTATATCACACATTAAATTAATTGTATTATTAATCAAACAATTTTTGTTTAACAGGCATCTCAGCAATTTTTCACAAATTACAGATTTCATTCGATGCAACATGCAGTGGTTTACATTTGCATGTCTCTTTATTTTTCCAGTAATTGCAGTTGCTCATGAAAGGTAACAAATTAATTTATCATTTGCCATAAATTGTTAAGTAATTTTTATTACTGGCCGATCCTTGTGTGAATATTTTAATTAAATTGTGTCTTTCTTTCCAAGGCCTGCATGGACATGGACTTGTGAAAATAAAAAGTGTGAGAAAAAGGAACTCTTGGGAAATGATACTCCTCAGAGTATGGCTGTTTGCAAACTTCTCTGTGACCCAAATCTCAACCTTTGGCCTCGTCCCACTGGGGAATTCAGAATGAGCCAGAGACTTGTGCCTGTGAATCCACATAGCATTTCTGTAGAATATGTTGGTAGTGGTGAATTGAAAGATGATCTTAGGGAAATAATTCAGAAAGTAGGTCGATTGTTTCAAACAGAATTGGGAAAGGAAGCAGGAGTAGAAAATTTAAAGGCAGATTCACCTTCAACTTATTCTCTGTTTGTGGAGTTGGACATAAAAGATCCAAAATCTTACAGGTTTACATCTGATACCGATGAAGGCTATCAGCTACTCATTGGAACTCAGGACACACGTGTAAGCAGACAGTTGTCAAAATATCCCTTTGAAAAAGTTTTGTTATTATATTTCTAAAAATCTGATACAAAATGTTTCCCATCTTTCAGGTGAAAGCTACTATAACAGCACAAACGTATTTTGGTGCCCGTCATGGACTTGAAACCCTCTCTCAGTTAGTGATATATGATGATGTATCAAGGCATCTTGTTGTTCCTGATGATGTTTATCTCAATGATCGTCCTGCATATCCTTACCGTGGAATTCTGCTCGATACTTCAAGAAGTTATTTTAGTGTAAAAAGTATTAAAAGAACATTGGATGCTATGGCAGCTAATAAACTGAATACATTTCATTGGCACATGACAGATTCACATAGTTTTCCTTTCCAGTCTAAAAAGTATCCACAGTTCAGTCATTATGGTGCTTATACTCCACGCAAGGTAAATTATTTTATTATGCCTATATCATGCTATTTAATTCTATTATTTTTACGTAGAAATTTTGAATCTTCACTGAAGCTTAGGAAATTAAACTCAAAATGGATTACATTCACTGTAGGATTCAATTCAAAATGGATTACATCACTGAAATTCTCTATGCTTGATATTTCTTCAGTATTTGTAATTATTTTGAAATATTAATAACGTATATTGAAATATATTTCCAAGATATTTTATGAAATGCAAAACTAGAGGTAATTGAAATGAAATGTATATATAGAGAATGTAATTTTTCATTCATTTTTCAGGTGTACACACATGATGATATACGTTCAATTGTAGAATATGGTAGAGTGAGAGGAGTTCGTGTTTTGCCTGAGCTGGATCAGCCTGCTCATGTTGGTGAAGGGTGGCAATGGGCACCGAATACAACAGTCTGTTTTAAAGCTGAGCCTTGGCAACAGTATTGTGTGGAGCCTCCTTGTGGGCAGTTGGACCCTACCAATGATTATGTGTATGATATACTAGGAAATCTTTATTCTGAGTTCTTAGAACTTTTTGATTCTGATATATTCCATATGGGTGGAGATGAGGTAAGTTGATCAACATTTATATAATGGAAATAACTTTTTGGTATTTCTGTCTGCAAAAATTGTGTGTACTTGGACCCTTAAACTGATATACAGTTTTGAAATTTATGTACTGCGTACTTTGTGAAATGATGTCTTAAATATACATTGTTTTTCTTTTTCTTTTAAAATCAGAGTTGAAATGTGTCTAACATCTGAACAGAAACTACTTGGAGTGAAATTCTAATTTTTGAAGCTGTTCCTTTATAAAGATTATTTGATTGCTTCAGTCACTATCTGGTTACATCAGTCATCTGCAAATCATTTTGTGCATCTTTATCGATTATCATGTTTCAATAAACCCCATTTTTATCAGATTATTCATCTATTTTCCCTGTTACTTTCAGCAAATGCTGAGGTCCTTGTTTTGTTTCTGGACATAAATGTAACTTCACTAACTCAGCATGTTTTTGCGAGTTCTGTAGGGAATGTAGTTATTCAAATAATCATTCTCCATATTTCTGCAGCAAGTCTATTCCTTCATGTAGAGAACAGTGAGGGATAATAGCCAAATATCCAGCAACACCTATATGCAGTTTTGCAAATAGTAATATTTTTCATGAAATAAAAACTAATTTTTTTTTATCAATTCTTGCTAAAACTGCTATTGCTAACTGTATTCATAACTGAACTTAACATGTATATGAGTTAGGGTAGGGATCTAGAGTTGAAGAAAACGGGCACAGGTTGCCCTTCTGAATTAGTTTTTAATTGCATTTTTGACTTTAAATCAATCAATCATCAATTAAAAATTGGGTGATCTTTCCGTGTATAATCTTCCAAGGAATTAAATTTCAGTATTTTGTTTTACTAATTTTGTTCTCTGAAAAACTAAAATTCTCTTAAAAATTGTCATTTTAAGTTTTCTAATGAAACTTTTTGAGCTACCTTAATAAAATGGTGTTTAAAAAACAATTATTTACTGATAATTCAATAAAAATATATTTATCACACTGGGTATTTAAACTTTTATAATTATTAATTGAAAAATGCTTAAAACAATAAATTTGCAAAATTAAGCGGTTTTGATATTGTAAACATAACTCTGTTCTCATGTTCAAAAAGTGATCAACATATTTGGGTCCCCAGAAATTTCTCCTTGAAAAAGAACACAATGTTAATTGAAAATAAAATCTTTAGGTTTCATACTTAACATAAACACTTATAATTTTAATTTCATTAAAACATGGTGGAATAGATATTGCAAAGCTCAGGATTTGATGCTGAGTATTTAAGACTGCGAAGCGAAAGTGTTAAGATTTGTTTCATATATTCACTTTATTTACAGGTCAATTTTAACTGCTGGAATAGTTCAGAGACTATTACTAAGTGGATGGCGAACAATAACTATGGTCGTTCAGAAGCAGATTTCATTCGGTTGTGGAAAAATTTTCAAGAGAGATCATATGCTCGTCTAATTAAAGCCAATGGTGGGAAACAACTTCCTGTTGTTTTGTGGACCAGCCATCTTACCTTAAAGGGTCAAGTTCATTTAAACCTTGAGAAAGAAAAATACATTATCCAGATTTGGACTAAAGGCAATGATGAAATAGTTCCTGAACTTGTTAATCAAGGTTTCAGAGTAATTTTTTCTAATTATGAAGCTCTATATTTTGATTGTGGGTAAGTTGCATTTAGAAACTTCCTTAGTTTACTTAATTATTTCTCTATTACCTTTAAATGAAAAATTATCAAGAAAACAAAACTTTGTTGTTTGAGTGAAGAGACCAATTAACATTTTTTGTATCTGAAGGTTGATTCATGAATTGTAAAAATTAATATAATTTTGTATTCTTTCCTCAGATTTGGAGCGTGGGTGGGTGCTGGTAATAATTGGTGTTCTCCTTACATTGGTTGGCAAAAAGTGTATGACAATGATCCACTGAATCTTCTGAAACAGCAAGGAGTGAATGTAGACAATCCAGAGACCCAAAAGCTTGTTTGGGGTGCAGAGGCAACGCTTTTCACAGAGCAAGCCGATGAAGCTGCTCTTGACAGTCGGTTATGGCCTCGGGCATCTGCGTTAGCGGAACGGTTGTGGTCTCGTCCCAGTGAAGACTGGCATCAGGCAGAATTTAGAATTCTAGAACAAAGAGAGAGACTTGTTAGACGAGGAATAATGTCAGATCTGTTGGAACCTGAATGGTGTGTGCAAAACCAGGGATACTGCTATCTTTAAAAGGACAAATATTTGTCTTTAAACGTCAATAGGTATTCGAGTTATATCTTGAACATCTTGAGGCAGAATATTGAGTCTTCCTATTGAACAAAAGGACAATTCAAGTTGAAAGAAATTTATTTTATTTTTGAGATCTTTGTTTGGAAAAAATTTGGAGCCGTTTTTAAAAAAACTGGCATTTGAGCGCTACTGTAAATGCAAAATCTGAACCTCCTTTCATCATATTAAAGAGAAGTGCAATTAGCATTATCTCTTTGAAAAGTTTGAAAAAAAAAAAATTGGAGCCATTTTTGAGAAAAAATGGGGGTTGAACGTTACTGAAAATGGGGAATTTTGAACTAGTTTTTGCTTGAAATTGAGCTTGAAATTATTTAAAGCACATGTATTCATAAATATAATAATGTGAACAAATCACTGCTAGTGTAAATATTATCGACGTGAGAGGCAATACAAAATATTTTTTTAATTAAAAGAAACAAAAGATTTGTGCAATGTGGCATCTGAGTCATCTTATAGAGTACTTTTACCAAAATTTCACCTCTAATAAAATTTTAAAGAAAAAAAATTGTTGCCGTTTTTGAGAAAATCTTGTTTGTGTAATTTTTTTAAATTTCTGGCACATATTGCTTGCAATATTATGGCTAAAATTTAAAAAAAAAGTGTGTATGACTTTAATGAAAGAACTTACTATGGAGAACAATTTTAAGTGAAGGAAAAATCTCTATATTTAATTGTGTAGTTTAGGGAAGACACCAAAAAAAATTCAAACTATAACAATTATTGAAAATTCAGAGTTAACCCTGCAAATTGGATCTACCACCCTACCCTGCCACCTTTATAAGCTTTTTTTACTCTATTCATACAGGCAATTTAAAGAAACAAATTGGAGCAGTTTTGAAAAGAACCACTTTTGGCATGAGTCAGTTCATACGAGATACCAGTCACGGTCTGATAAAGACACGTGATCTGGTGGAATATTGGATGTGCAGAGTTCAAAAGAGACTGCATGCAGTATGGGATCTATTTCTGCAATTTCTCATTCAAATACAATTGTCATTAATGAAGATGGGCTGTACATTGTTACGTACTGGTAGCAGAAACTACAACCACTTTCCAAAATTAACGACAAGAGAAGTTCCAAAGGATATCGGCGGTGAAAAGTGCTCTTAAACCAAATCAACAATTGCGATGTTCGTGAATAAAGAGAAAGAGAATAAAAAAATGCCGTATTTTCCCTCCCCCCCCAAAAATCAGTCTCCTAGAGCAATCTGTTGAAGAGATACGAGGTACGCGTTTTTCATGTTTTATTTTTTTCTCAATTCTATTGCATGTATCAGACAGGGAAAAAGATTTGAATTTGAAGGTATTTTTGTCAACCAATTTTGATGCCAAATTCATATAGAATAAATAAATAAATGTTTGAAATTGATTTTCAACAAAATAACGTTGGAGTACTGTCTCAGTTTTCCCCCGCAGAATGTGTCTTACCACTTTCTACAACATATTGTTTCTCAGATTTTTAAACAATGTGGAACGTAGCGAAAAACAATTAAACCCAATTTTATCAGTTTAAACAATTTAAATTCGTGCCCAAATGTGATTGGATTTTTTCACCAGTGTTTAAACAGTTTATATTTAAATTATTGTAAAGTCTCACTTACCAGAATGATTTACAACTGTTTGATGACAAATGTTTGTATTTATGTGGAAAGTATTTTTTTATCGCAATAAAATCATCAACCCCCGTTTTGTTTTTAAATTAATGCATTGTTTCCAATATAAATCAAATTAATTGGCTTTAAATATATTGCTCATTCATGTTTCTAATTTAAATCATATTAACCAGTTGAGATTTATTAATCATTGACGACTAGACAATCATAGACAATGAATGATTGTCGCTGTCTTCTTCTATAACTGGGATCATGCCTTCGTTTTCTGAACAGTCTACTTAAAATTTCTGAGTAGGTCCTGGTTTAACAGTTTTCGCCAAATAATTAATGATCGCAGCTATTTCGAAGTAGCTTCCCAGGGTGCGACTTCCGTTCGCACGTTTACAATAATATCGTTTCACTCCCGATATTCCCATGGTGGAAAGAGATGGGTGGGCTCTTCTGTTGGAAAGCGAGATCAGTCGTTGGTCACTATGCTACATGGAGAGCAAGAAGTGTTGAGAATAATTTTGAATGTAGCATAAAGTGACAATTTTCACCGGTGACCATCCAACGATAACCAACTAAAAATAATGATGAAGATGTAATTAAAATAAAAGATGCAATCAATGAAGAGGACTTTTCTGTTTCATTGACAGGTAACTGTGATATATTTTGCATGTAAAATTCCCTCAAAAATATTATGACGCAAACCGGTATCTGATGCTCATTGGCTGAAGTTGGCTGGCCCTGACACAATGGATACAGTCCATCTTTATTAATGACAATCGTATTTGAATGAGAAATAGATCCCATGCTGCATGCACTCTCGTTTGAACTCTGAACACCGAATATTCCACCAGATCGCCTGTCTTTATCGAACCGTGACCGGTATGTATTAACTGTCTTATCCCAAAATTGATTATTTTCAAAACGTCCGTCTGTAAACACCACTAGCGCCTAAACCATGCGTAGGATTTTTTCCAAATTGATGAAAATCCTGTCAATCTGGCTCGAGTCGAAGCTTGAGATTTTGAAAATCTTACTTTAAAATTAGGGGGTAATTTACATAGCCTTCCGGACATTTTCAAAATTTCCCCAAAAACAGCTCCAAATTGTTTCTTTAAATTTCGTGTATGAATAGAGTAAAATACACTTATAAAGATGGCATAGATCCGATGTCCACGGTTAACTCTAAATTTCCAATAATTGCAAGTTTGATTTTTTTTCGAAATACAAAATTGAAGATATAGATTTTTCCTTCACTTAAAATTTGTTCTCGATTGTAAGTTCTTCATTAAGGTCATGCACATTTTTTAAACATTTTAGTCGTTTTCGCCCAATATTGCGAGCAATATGTGCAATTTTAAAAAATTCAAAAACAAGATTTTCTCAAAAACGGCTCCAAATTATTTTCTTTAAACTTTTGGTAGGGTTAATGCTAAAAGTACTGTATAAGATGACTCAGACGCCATATTGCGCTAATCTTTTGTTTTTTTTATAAAATTACAAAAATTTTTTTATTGTCTCTCACGTCGATGATATTAACACTAGCAGCGATTTGTTTACATTATTATATTTATGAGTGTATGTGCTTTAAATAATGTCATTAAGTTTGTCGAAAACTTCGTTTTCTGTGAAAACTAGCTCAAAATTCCTCATTTTCAGAAACGCACAACCGCCATTTTCTAAAAAAGACTCCAATTTTTTTTCAAACTTTTCGAAAGGATAGTGCAAATTCCACTCTTTAATATGAGGTAAAGTTCATTTCGGGAATTTAAAAAAAATTACACTAATATAATTTTTTTCAAAGATCTCTAATGGCTTAAGTATGCATATTTCCAGCGATTTGTAAACATTATTGCATTTGTGACTGGAATTGCGTGAAATGACTTTCGGAAACTTAATACTTTTCTGTGAAATGAGGTTCAAATTTCTCATTTATAGTAATGGTTAAATGCTATTTTGTTTTAAACGGCTCTAAATTTTTCAAAGAAAATTGCCATTTAGTACGTGGTTTTACTGAATCAAGGTCAGAGAGAGTCGAAGACGGAGGGAAGGAGAGACCGAAGGAGAAAGATAGACAGAGGGAAAGGGAGAGGGAAGGTGAAAGAGGGAGATGAAGGGCAGAACGTCTGCCGGCTTCGGCTAGTAGGTTATATTTTTCATTTCTTATACAACGAAGGAAAGTTTACAGTGCAATCTGCGTGGATACACCCTTCCCTATCTCTCCAGGCAATTTTCTTCTCTTCACTTTTCGTACCGAGGTCCAGCTCGGTCAGGTCCGTCAATTTATATTAAATTCCGAGCTAACTGTTGAGCCCATTTCGGCGGTTTGTCTCTCATACAGGTAGAGTCAGCATTCTCATTTTCCGCCGTTTCTGTAAGCCAGATGCTCATATCAGAGAGTTATTATTCCGGGGATGGGAGAAATGAGGGACGAGAGAGATTCTACTCTCTCATGCGCCAAGTCACAACACACGCGCAAATATCCATACCCGAGGCAGGATTCGAGCTGTGGAATTTACGCACGTCAAGACGCTCTGCCTCTCGATCGATCGGGCTTGACAACTACTAAAGTTATTAGTCCCGTAAATGCAGTACATTGTGTTTACCTTGGGAGGATAGGGCGATCGTTTACCGCCGGATTGGGAGAAGTGGCTTGCTGGACTTTCGCCAACGAGATATCTGCCTACAGAGAAGCACCGCACCAGCCAAGGCGAGCTCTGAGCTCAGGACTGGTTTCCCGGTATGTGGGGTAGTGTACTGCATGCAAGTATAAGGGTAAATTCGGTAAATATGCGGGACCTTGCCAGGAAAGTAAGGATAGAATAAGGAAACGCAGGAAATAGTGTGTGGTCCGTGGCCCGTTTGTTAGGGTACTACTCCGGCATTCGCCTGGTATTGATCGAAAAAACCTATATGGAAAAATACCGATCGGACCAGCCGGAGGCACGAATTCTCCTCCAGACTGCAGCTGAATTCGGCCTAGTTATCTTGCTAGTCTCGAAAATCCTGCCTCCGTCGGGGCTCAAACCCTAGGACTCCCGATCATAAGCACGGCAGTGACATCCTTGGATACCCCGTGCCACCTAAGCCTTCTCCTCCACTCGGAAGAGCTACGAACGATTAGTAATTATGAAGGACGGGAATCACTCCAACTCTACACTTTCTCACCATGGCACGTCCATGGAGGTCTCAGACTCCCGCCGCTTTCGAGATTTTCTGAATCATGGAAGATAGGTGACTCTCTCAGCTGTAAGGAAGGGAAGGACTAATCGGGGAAGGAAGGCTCACGTGCGGTCCATGGCCCGTATTATATTTCCGGAATTTTTCTGGAAGTAATCAGGGATACCAAATAATTCACTGACTAGAGCAACGATATCGATAACCAAATGCCGCAAACTCACCTATATTAAACGCTTCCGGTAAATTTCCGTGATCTTGCGGGAATCGATCCCGCGATCTCTCAACCCCTGGTAAGCTTGAGTTCTATGTTCCATTAGTTAGT